TACAAAAAATGACGCAAGCTATTTGCAATCTAACATAATGCGTCGAAAAAAACTGCTTTTGAATTAAAAAAATGCATCAAAGTTAATTGAACCTTAATGCATGCATACAGAACCTTGGAGGCGAACCAGCCCAAGGCTGAAAGCCTCATTAATAAAGTTAAATAATAATAATAATGCATACAGAAAATTTCTTTGTTGTTCACGGATGAGTTTGATAATATCTGTTTCTATAATCCGTAATTTACCGGTCATAAATGAGGAGATAGGGTTATTTTTAAATAGAAAAAGGCCAAACACGCGAACATTCAACGCGACCCTTTTCACTCACTTATGAATTGGCGCTAACCAAACTTTCACTAGTTTGTAGTACAGAGTCTAAGCTTTAAAAAGAGTACTTGATGCTGTGTCCCGGTTTGCCACCTTCTCCCCTATATGCAGCTGAAATTAAGGAAAAATAAATGTAAAAAGTACTATAACTTTGAAAGGGATGATTTTAGCCACATATTGTCGTGGGCAAAAACATGTATTTGTACGTTGTTTACATTTTTTAAGAACATTGTTTACTTCAAAAACTGTAATAAAAAAGGATATACTTAAAAAACTGAATTTAATGAGGTTTCCATCAACAACGCTTAATATCTTCAAAATTATTCGTCATAAAAATTTTGTGTCTACTACAAAGTTTCATATTTTTGTGAGTACTACAACTTTGCTGAAAAAACTACCCTTCTATCTCTTTTGCAAAAAAAGATAGTTTTTTTTTATTTTTTCCATAGTATGTCATGACAAATATTGGTAGTTGTCATAATATGCGCAATGTTTTTGTGAACAATTCATTTGAAGGCAGTTTTTTGATTCAGTCAACGGTTTTACCACAAAACAATTAAGTTCACCAAATTGGCATCTCCGACCACTGTGCAGCGGAGCCTGAGGCAAAACCCCACAATTCAACGTCACTCCATCGTTTCGCCGATCGTCATTTGACCCTCCCCCATCACATCCAAAAAAAAACGAAAACCCGAAATTGATTCTGAATCTATTCCGGTTCCTCCCCCTTCCCCGTAGAAATAAGCCGATACCATGGTGGCACCTTATTTGATCCCGGACCAGGATGCCACTACCTACAGACCACCCTTAATCGACTCCGAAAACTGGCTGGAATGTAGATGCACCAGTCTGCAGATATTTTTTCGAATTATTTTGTTTAAAAGGGCATTCAAATACCTTCTAAAGTAATTTAAAAGTATGTATGTTTGTTTTAAAAATGAACAGCATGTTTAAAATAAACATATTTATTTTTGTTCCCATAGTTGTCAAATTATACAAAAATATTTAAGTTTATTTTCAACACGAATATTTTTAAAACATTATTTTTATTTTAAACATCGATATCACATGACTTCTAACATGGAATACGTTTGAAATGAACCTATTTTATTTTTGTGGCCAGAAAAAACAAAGTTTACGTTTAAATTTACCTCAAATATGTTTATTTCGACAATAGATTTTTCTGCGTGCTTGAGGTTCTTCTCGGAATATTTTAGACCTTTTTTCTCAGAACACCTTGGAACAGAAATTCCCCTAAAGTTTCAGAAGAATTTCCTCTGTATTCTCCAGAAATTCTTCCCAAAATGAGCTTGAAATTATCCTCGGAATTTCCTTGAAATTTTCCTCAACATACCTTTGTAATTTCAATCAAAATTTGATTCTCTCGGTATTCTTTTCGAAATTATCTTGGAACTATCTGCAAGACTCACTAAAAATCATTCGCAGAATTTTCATGGAATCATCCCCAGAAAGCTTTTCTTTTGGAACAATCCTTAGAATTCAATACCCTTGAGGTTCTTCTCGGAAGTAAAGTTTAAGTTGTCAAGTTAACTTTTAGGAAATTTTTAAAGTGATCTTTTGCACAGCACTGAAAAAAAAAAAAAACAAACGTTGCAGTGCTGTGCAAAAGATCACTTTAAAAATTTCCTAAAAGTTAACAACAGGTCATGAAAAATCTACATTTACGCTGTCCTCGATTCGTAAAAGTTTGTAACGGGAAACGATAGACATTACAACCCTTGAGAAAGACCACAACCAAACGGTCGAAACGTCGGGAACGTAAAAAATAATCGTTTCTACTAAAAGACTGAGAAAGCCACCCCATAAAGTGATTCCAATCAACCAGTCGAAACCACCATTAGCTTTGATTTTTTAAATAAACGATTTCACCGATTTACACGCGTTTTCCCTTGACCAAATTTTGACCGTATCACCCTTTAAAAGTTATCCTGAAGATTGTGTATAATGTTCAATAAAGTCTTGTATGATTTTCAGATTTTGTTTGTGAATCCATGTAGCTCCGCGGAACTTTATCACATCAAATGAGGTAAGATATTATATTAACAAAATATGTTTAATTCTCCAAATTGTCCTGGAGAGCAGATCTTGACAATTTACAGATTCAACGAGCTATTGTACGATGTCTCGACTAAATTTGTGAACCCGAAAAGCTTCGTAGAGTCTCATAATGGAATATGTAGTTGTACCCAAGTAGTACACTGCCCATAATCGCAAGTCAGTCCCATCTGTAAAAACCTGGAAATGAGAAAACAGCGTTCAAAGATTTTACAAGTTTTCCGGAGCCGGAGACAACAATTTCCTAGATGGAAATTTTTTCAGGATATGACATAAACAATGAAATTACAAATTCAAGCAGACTAGCACCGGGTAGTGAGGAAATTTCAAACTAAGGTCTTGATCCACCGAATAACTTTGCCGAAGACAGCAGCTTCTTAGATAGTAAAGATTTCAAGATATCACATAAACAAGGAAATCACAAATACATGCATACTAGCACCGCGTAGAGAGAAAATTCCTAACTTCTGTACACTAAACATTAGGTCTTGATCTACTGAACAACTTCACCAGAGGCAGCAACTTTCTAGATGGCAAGGATTTCAAGTTATAACAAACTATGGAATCAAAAATTCAAGCACACTAGCGCTGCGTAGTGAGAAAATTGTGAACTTCTGTCCACCAACCATTAGGTCTTGATCTACTGAACATCTTTGCCGAAGATAGCAACCTTCTATATGGCCAGGATCGCGAGATATTCCATGTTGGTCCCTATTAGGTCAAATCCCATGTGCAACGTGTACTCCATTAACGCGATTCCCTCGCCTAAACGGAATCATTCGAGACCAACATAAATGGAATTCGTGTAGAACGAGTTCACGTTCTTCGGTGGGAGCGGGGGGGGGGAGTGTACTACAGAATCAGTACGTTTGGCATATTAAAACAATATAATTCGTAGTTCTGGTGCAAGGCATAACAACCAGATGCATCATAGAGCTGAAAATTGGAAATACGCCATGTAAGGAAACGTTTTTAATGATTTGAAATGATATTTTCTTCTACCTTTTCGTATTTATCGAGTAGTTTGTGAACTGTTATATCTATATGCGGCAAAATATAATGTGTTTACATTTTAGCTCTTCCGCCCCTTAGTCTAGAAATACTCTTAGTCATCCTATGAAAAATCAATCGCCAACTTAAGAATTTGGTTGATAGTCAAAAGTTATATATATGTTTTTTTTTCATTAAAGAGAAATGGCTCTAATGTTGGCCTATGGATCTAAGATTGGGCCCATCGCTAAAAATCTACTATTAATACTAGTGGATATTTTTGGTCGCTATTGCAAATTTAATCGATTACTGAATTTATGTACTGGTCCAAATAAGGGGCATTTAGGCCGATATTACATCAATTTCTCCTACCTGTGTCTTAAGAAGCTATCTGTCATCACGATTTTATTTTTATTTTCAGGTTCTAGAGCTTCTTATGTTTTCAGTTAGTCATCCTGAATTGTTTAATAAGTTCCATGGTTCGAAAGCCTGTTTTGTTTGTATTGTCGCCGTTTTTTTTTTTCACGTCTTGGAAACATATTTTAAGTTCGTGGTCAGAATCATTTTTAAGAGGCTATTCGCTAGGAATTTTAAATATGTAACAAGGAACAGATTTCCCCATAATTGGACGATCTCTAGTTTTTTTTTTTTTCAATCATTGGCAATGAAATAATAAAACCAAATTAATTGAAATAAATACAAAAGCAAATGTTTTGCTTTTATTTATTCGTCTGCAATCAAATGTAGACCATAAACTTCGAATGATTTGTGCCAAGTCAGTTTCTTACCAAATGAGTTTAAATTTTGGGAGGCTAATCAGGACCTGATTTGAAGCCGTTTGAGCACTGTGGAGCGAAAATTTCAAATTTTGCAGCAGTCTAGTACACACTCAAAGTCAAAATTAAAGGGATTGTATTCAAATAATACTGAAAAACGTGTCTTATGGTTTCTTTGAATCGCATTGAAGTAAACCAAAATTCAGCAATTGGGTCGTTGGTATGTACCCTTAATAAACTGTCAAGTTTATAAACCGTAATTCTCGGTGGCAACACATTTCACATAAACAATTCTTTAAATATCCAATATCCGAGGTTGAATTTCTTTAACTGGGCCACTTGATACACAGTCATAACAATCAACCATTGCCCTGCACAACTGTGGCAACTCAATCGGTAGGATTAACCACATTTCTCGGGGATAATCCTCATCACCCCTCTGGATACAATTAAGCCCGAATCATTTTTCGGATCCGCAGAAAAAAAGAGTTCCTCCCCTGTGATCTCCACACCACAGCACAGTAGCAGCGCATGAGATCATGGCAATATCCATTGAAAACTCGAGACTGAATCTGAGACACAGGGCGTTCAATAAGCACTTTTTCTCATGAAGCGACGGCCGTTGATGGTCTTCCTTGTAAACACGCAAACAAACGCCACGCAACAATGTTGCCCGATCGAGCGCTGCCAAACATTTCTTTCCGCAGTTCGAACAGCGAACACTTATTTTTAAAATCAATTTAAATGGTGGCGATGACGATGCTGATGACGGGTGGAAATTTGCCTACCTATCAAAACAAATCAGTCCCGGTGTGGTTAACGACAACCTACCTGTATTCTGTTAAATGCTCCTAGGAGGATGTGAGGATCTGAAATTGAAAGCAGAAGGAAAAGGGGCATGATATTAGTACAAATCGGACAACTCGACTGGAAATGGCGTGAGTTTGGAATCCCAATGTCACTGTTATAGAACTGTATAATTACTCGATGACCTACGAGTAACGGACCACCGCTCGTCAACAGCAGTCGGCTGACTTTTGTAAACATATAACTCTTTGGGTGGCGCAAGCTACACATATCTCTAGGTCAGAGACGCCATGTGTTTTCAATGCGTCGCGTCGTCGTACAAATGTTAGTAGACGCTGCGATGGCTGTAGCAGCTGCATTGGCGACCATTGCACCTCCCAGCAATCTCTCGTCTGTCACCTAATGGGATCAAGATCAGGTCCTATTTCTGTCGTACCCCAACCATTCCGATTCGTGCGCCATTGTAACGCGCGTCAGCCTAAAAATATCGCGAGAAATTCTGTCCCGTCAAAAGTTATATCAATTCCCATATTCTTCAAAATAAAATACCAAACGATGCGATGATGACTAATGGTGCCAACCTGAACTCAATTGGACTTATTATTGCACGCGGAATTTCGAGCAGCACACGGGAACCAACCTTGATTCATCGCAATTCCACGCAGGTCGTCACCGACCTGCGGATGGATGGATGCGAGCAGTCCTCACTCACTCTCGGTCGGTTGAACTATTTGCGTTCGAGTGCGTCTTCTATTCGTGCGGCGAGTGGGTAAAATTAGCGACCGGTGCCGGTTTAATGCGGCTAATTTTGAATTTGAACGTTTCCCTTAAATTTGCCCCCCCCCCCTCACACCCCCTGGCACTCAGAGACAAAGATTCAAGACGCAATTCGTCAACACACACTGGTTGGTCGCTCGAAGATTTAGTTTATTTGCCTAGCGAAACTGTGCAGTAACATGATCGTCCACCGACCGACGACCACCCGTGTCCACTGAGGACTCTTAGGTATGTGTTTATCAAAATGCAAAAACTGCAACGTACGGTACGTTCATATCTCTCGGACGCCGGTGTTCAAGGAACCAAGTTGAGATATCGGCGGCGGCGGCAGTGTCTGTGAGCAAATAAGACGAATCACGCTGATCTGTCGGTGAGATTTTGCTGACTCGCGCTTTTTTGTGAACTTGTTTCAGGCGAAGATAATTTGTTTAAACTTGAAATTCCTTTCAAATGATTGGGTAACCTGCCAGTATGGGTAGCTGGGCACAGGCAGCTATTGCTAGCTGACCGTACTCGTAGGTGCAGATGGTGGATTGGTAGTGATGTGAATCTGGGATCGTTTTGAACGGTTTGCTGTTGAATCTGGTGGTTCTGTACGTTCATAATCAAACGTAGCAGAGTAAGTTTGCCCGGTATTGTAGCTAAAATAAGTTGTTTGGTATCCAATTAATCCAGCTATCAAATTAATAATGCATTCGTTCAGCATATGCTGCTCAATTGGTAAAAGCTTGGATGGTTGATTTTATGGTTCAACATTTAAGCAGTTTGTTTTATTGATAAATAAGTTGCAAGCTCATCAAAAAAGCTGGATCTAGAGATCTGTGGTGAACTTCAAAGGTTTTAAGGGCAGTTCCCACAGCTGCAGGAAAGCCCAGACTTTTGGAGGAGTTTAAAAATCTACAAGCGTGAGGTTAGATTAATTCATGTCAGCTCCATTTTCTTCAGGAAAATATAACGACAACCCTTAAGATCTGTCGTGAATTTCTGGGAAGTAAAGAGACCTTCAGATAACTTATGAAAACTTCAGCGAAATTATGAAAGCTTCAGAAATATTTCGGGACCTTTATGGGGGTCCAAAAAGCTTTAAAAAAACTTCAAGGGTTTTAGAAGAGTTCCTTTTAATTCAGAGTGAACCAAGCTATTATGGAATTTTGAATTTCAGGGAAGCTTCTCTTATCAGAAATAATTTCTAGGAAACTGCAGAAAGCTTACAGAAGTTTAGAGAAATTCAGGGATATTCCGGAATCTTCAGCAAAGCTCCAAGTCTGAAGGTAGTTTATAATGCAATGTTTATATCGGCAGAGTGTCATCAAAATCAGTTGAGTGGTTACAGTGATAACTTTGAAACAAGAAAAAGCACGCAGGCAAATTTTGGGCGCTCACTTCGAAAATCCAAACGCCTCTCATCGATGGAAGCTGTCGAGAAAGTGGTTCACAAATCCGTTCTCATTGAGGACTTTGAGGCCTACATCAAGGCCGAAACCATACACATGCCGGGACAGGAATACTATGTCGCCACCTGTAAGTTGGCCGTTCCTGAGAGTGTACAGAGAAAGAAGCTGTTGGAATGCGCCAAAAAATTCCTTGTCTGGCAAGCGATTTGCGGATGTAGAAAAATGAGTCACCCTTTCATTGCATCTGGGACCGTCAAAGGACAAATAAGCAAGGACGAATGCCTCCAAAAGCGACTTCTGCCCTTCTTGAGGTCTCACTATTTTGGCCAGATTTGGTCATAGATTAGTGACAAGATCTATGACTGGTGAAAAATCAATAATGTTGTTTTTGTACCAAAACAGGGCTTCAAAATGGTGAGTTGAAATCCTGGAAGGAGCGTCCCTTCTCAGCTCATAAGTCCCTACCTCACGCCTCCACAAGTTACCCAGACAACCAGAATGCACGTATATTCAAAGTTGTTTCTGTGATATACAAACATATATACAAACAATCAAATCGTATAGATTGCAAAAAAGGGCTCATACATACAAAAGTGGAGGCCATATACGTGAAAATTTTAATTTCTTATTAAACGAGTGATTTGACATAATATACTATTTAACCTGTCATAACAAATTCAATTTGAAAAGTCTTACGATGTAATCTGATTTAATTTGTGGTACAGTACGATGGAAAAATGATTCATCGCAAATGAGTAGCAAATTTGCATTCTATACGATTTAACTTAAACCCAATGCGATGTATGTCATACTTATATGCGATGTTGACTTAAACTGTAGTTATTTACGATATTGTCTGTACATTGTTATACGACTTCTGGTTGTCTGGGTATATGATTACAAACGACTACCAGCTGAAACATGGACACAGCTGGGTGTCGTAGCCTGGGCAATGTTTTAAATCCAAAATAGCAAAGTGAGGAGGTGCGGCGCGAACACTGGCACGATAACAAAGAAAGGAACACTAACTTTATGCAAACGCTGATCCAGAAAGAGTGTACTCTTACGATTGAAAAATCAACATCGATTTTTTGTTCCTCTTATCATTTTATATTTAGCGTGTTCGTTTATGCCAGTTTAAACTGGAATAAAATGGTATAATTTCTGACAATGTTTTGAAATGACCGTTAGCTTTACAGTTCATCCTGATTAATAAGATCAGTTGTTTTAAAGCTCACAACAATTTGTACAAACAAGTTTTTTTTTGCATTTATGTATGTACTGGACATATCTAGGTTAACATTTCAAGAGGTCCTGTCTGCCTTTATCTATTAATTTCATGATTCATTCGATATTGTAAACATGCTTCATGCCATTTGTGACAAACGGTTAAAGAAAATTATAACCTTCTTCTTATTTACTTTTTTCTTTGGCTATTATGATTCTACTAGAACTTTACGCTAGCTCTCAACTGAGAGGATTAGAGAGATTTTGATTGATTCTCTTCATCACCTTTGCCCAAGCGCAATGACAGCGGAAGAGGAACGGCAGCCGCAGTGGAAAAGCTCGATCTGAGTAAGCCTACTTGTCGGATTGAAAACTAGTTAGAACCAAATTGATGTCGGTTAGGCTTCTTGATGTCATTTGTGACAACTGTCAAACATTCCGTTTCCGTTCTGCTTTCGAGCACATTGCGCTTGGGCCTTTAATAACTCAGCGGCAAACATATTCCTTGATCCTGCATGACATATGGTAACCTGCTTTATCAAACTATGTAGCGGAAATAGTGTGAAATTGGTTGGTAAAGCCATTATAATCAAAAGAGAAAGTCGACGAAGAGAATCGATCAAAATCACTTGTACCACTTTGCCTCGTCCTCAAATATGGAACAAGAGGTCTGTGCCATAAAAAAGGGAGAAAAATGTTTTCCGTGCAAAAAGTGTACTTTCCACCGCTAGGTGGCACTCTTAAGTACATCGATTTTTTTTTCACTTTTCGAAGCAGAGATGAGCTTCCTTTCTTTGACGATAACCGAAGCACGGCGTTAGAGGGAACTAGATGCATTATCGCGTATTTCAGTCATTATTTATATACCAATCGAAAAAGTAGTCACGTTTTGGTCGCAACACGTTATGGTTCTGAGATGCTCGATGACCCTAGAGGGATCGTTTTTGCTTACTGAGCAGAAAATCATGGGTTTAATCCCAAGCTTGCCACCGTGACTCTTAAAATGCATGATCACTAAACAAAATGAATATTTTCTTTCGATAGTCGGCTATCGAGAGATAAAATGAGCCACACATAAACAATATATAGAGTAAATGACAGCTTCGGCACCCATTGACTGTTTTCGGCAACGAACATGTATACGGTAATTTCACGGAATTTTCTTTTCTTAGTCTTAAAGCTTAAATCTGATTAGGTTTTTACTACTGAGCAAGCGCATTTTATCAGGTTTTTCTTAAAATAAAACATACGCATTAAAAAAGGTGGCTGATTTAAAATTGGCGATAATAGAACAGCAGATTGACACGCAACTCAAATGGAAAGGTTGCCGATGAAAAAGAGGTTGCCGACAATAGTCACACTCACCTGAGTAGCTTGGAGCGTTGTAAAAGTGATTCAAATCGGTTTTGAACAACTCTATAGATTGAAATGGATAGTGAAGCTGGCAGCAGATCAATGAAAACAAACAAACACTGCATATGTTTGCGTTACGTTGATAAAAGCCCATAGAAGCTCGGACGCTGCTTAGATTGACGAGAATACGTAAGTTCTCCTAACTTTGGTTGCATCGCCAACTTGAGGCGAATCCTAACCGAATACCCTAACCAACCCTCCTACTCCGCAGCACTCATGAGGGTGTAGCTAAGTCGGTGGCCTCTCATTAA